ATGTCTTGATATCTTCGGCCCACGGCCATGGTGTTCTGTGGCCAAGTTAGAAATACACAGCTATCCAGAACTAAGGTGGGGATTGCAGACAGTAGGGAAGGCCCACAGGGGATGTTTGTGGATGGGGGCGGGGGGCAGAGCCTCAGGTCATTGCCGTGACAGTGGTACAAGGTCCTACCCGTGGGCAGCAAGGCCAGGGAGCTCTGGTTTTACTGCAGGCAAGACAAAACTAAAAGGGAATTTATTTTGTGAGACAGGTTGCAAAGTGGTCTCTTAAGAAGCTATAAAGTGCCGCTTGGCCTGTAATTGTTGCTAAATGCACTCCTAATAGTATTCACATCTTCCTGCAAAGTCTATCCATTACCCTAACAGGAGAGGCAGGAGGCTCTACAAATAAGGGCCAGACTTTCTCCCAGACCAGACTCACTGGAGGACAAATCCTCTCTCCGCGGGAGGCTGACTTTAGCCCCCTTTCTGTTCCTCCCAACAAAACACAGCATGAGAGGTTGTGCCTCAGCCCTCTACTAGACCCTCAAGGTTCTAGAAGGTTAGTGTTGTCTGTCCAGTTCACCTCTGCACCCCCCGTGTCCAGCAAGGGGTCCCCAGCGCACAGTAGGCGTGTAATGTGGATTCGTTGCCTACAAGATGGGAAGGACAAAAGGTCCTCTCTCCCCGGTAGCGAGCGCATGGCCTGGCGCACAGTAGGGCCTCCCTCGACCCACATCTGTCGAGTGGATGGGCGCTGGTGTTGGGAGGGAGCTTGGGGTCCCAGCTGAGGCACAGGATGAACCAAGCGGAGCCGGGGTTCCGCTCACGTGTGTCTCCTTCCCCAGCTGCCATTCTCCCCCTGGGAGGAGAGCACAGGAGTCCAGAACATCCTGCAGGGTGCCTGGGGAGCTCAGGGTAAGACCGAGCGCCCCAGAGCGTCTAGACGACCCAGGCACAGAGAGACACTCGGTACCTTCGTTGCATCAGTGAAAGGGGAATACTCTGCTGCCTGCCGGCAGGATGAACTTGGACGAGTCTCCCAACCTCCCCGAGCCCATTTTCTCGTCGGGATAGTGGAGGTGACGATGTGAAGCCCCAAGTCGTGCGCCCCTCCCCACACATAAACGGGTGTGGCCGACATCTGGTCCTGACCCAGGGCCCGGCGCACCGGGAATGCTCACCGCGGTGTGGCCGCAGAATCAAGAAGCCATGAATGAAGGGACGAGTAATGCAGAGACAGAAGGAAGTTTGCTTTATACGCAGGAGAAATCTCTTTCCAGGAAGGGCACCGCCCCAGCCCCAGGCCCGACCCCCGCATCCACATCTCCTGATATGGCTGAGGGCCCTCTCCTGCAGGGGCGGCTCTGGGGACACAGCACCACCGTGTTCCAGGCCCCGATCTAAGTCGTTCGTATGTATCGGCTCATGTAATCCTCGTTCCCCTGTTACGAGCCTACTTGACAGATGAGGAAACTGAGGCAGGGACAGTGGAAATAACTGCCTGTGGCCCAGAGCATGGGCCTCTGGCTCCCTGCCTCCCAGACCCACGGTCACCTGGAGCCTCCAGTGGGTCGTGCCCTCCCAGAGAGCGGGATATGTCCCCAGCCCCACCCAGTGCCAGTCCCACCTCTTCGGGCAGAGAAGCTGGCATTTCATTGTTTTTAAATGTTCATTTATTTTGAAGAAGAGAGCGAGCAGAGGGGGGGGGGGGGGGGGGGGGTGGGACAGAGCATATGACGCAGGCTCTGCACTGTCAGCATAACTCAGGGCTCAAACCCATGAACCGTGAGATCATGACCTGAGCTGAAGTCGGAGGCTTAACAGACTGAGTCACCCAGGCGCCCCCTGGCATTTCATTTTCTAAATTTTTTTTTAATGTTTTATTTATTTTTGAGACAGAGAGAGAAAGAGCACGAGCAGGGGAGGGGCAGAGAGAGAGGGAGACACAGAATCCGAAGCAGGCTCCAGGCTCCGAGCGGTCAGCACAGAGCCCGACGCGGGGCTCGAACCCATGAACCCCGAGATCGTGACCTGGGCCGGAGTCAGATGCCCAACCGACTGAGCCACCCAGGCACCCCGACATTTCATTTTCCAGACCGGGAGACTGGGGCTGCCTTGTTCCCTCCATGCAAAGAGGTGTGGGCAGGCCCGAGAAGGCAGTGGCCCTCTCCTGACACCTATCACAGACACCGACAGGGCCCTCACCCCCCAGGCCAGGCCTTGCTCCCTGATAGACACAGCTGACCACTGCCACCCCCATGGGAGTATCAGTCACCCCAGAACCAGCTCCTACCCTCACAGTCTCTTGGTAAGAGACTTACTAAGGACAATGGTCCTGGGACGCTTGTGTGGACTTTGCTTAAGCCAAGCCCTGTTCTGAGCACTTGGCAAATAGCACCTCATTTCATCCCATCAATCTACTGTGTAGACGCTGCTTTTACCGCCATTCCGCCGAGGAGAAACCGGGGAGCCAGGCGGTTCAGAATTTGGGCAAGGTCCTGGGGCTGGTGGGCTGTGGGCTGGGCCCAGAGGCGGGCCCAGCCGCGACTCTCCAGCAGGAGAAGGAGTGGAGCCGACCGCCCCCCGGGCCGCCCCCCTGCCCAGCCCTCACTGCTGTTCCTGCCCGCCTCCAAGGCGGACGCCCGTCCCGTGGGTCTCGGGGTCTTCTGAAGCAGCCAGTGCATGCCTCGGTGGGCCCGTCAGCCCCTTCAGCCTGACCACAGTGGGGGTCAGCTCAGTCCTGAGGTATGTCGGGTACGTCTGCAGGTATCAGAGCGGGGACAGAAGCCGGAGCCCTCTGTAAGCCTGGACCTGAATTTGGCTTCTCTGTCCAAGGTCCAGCAGGAAGCAGGGTCCATGCTTTCGAAGGCGGGGGGCATGGGCTTCCCTTGGGGGGCCACGCGAAGGGGGCTGGGGAGGCTGATTCCATCCAGAGTGGATGTGGAGGGGCAGGGTGACGCCCCGGCCCCCCCTCCAGTCCACCCTCAAAACGACCCTGTGTGAGTCCCTATGGTGCCGTAACAAGTTACCACAACTGAGCAGCTTAAAACAACAGAAATGTATTCCCTCACAGTTCGGAGGGAGAAAATGCAAAACCAAGCTGTCAGCTGGCTGTGCTCCTATCTGGAGGCTCCAGGGGGAGAAGGCGTTCCTGGCCTTTTCCAGCCTCTCTAGAAGAGAAGGTGCCCCCGCTCTAGCCCCAGCCTCTGTCTGTGTCCCCATATCTTCTCTGACTCTGATGCGGGCCCTGTGATTACATTCTCCCACCAGGAGAATCGGGACAACCTCTCAAAATCCTTAACCACATCTGTGAAGTCTCTTTTGCCATGTAAGGTGACAGTCACAGGCCCGGGGAGGGGACACCTGTGGGAGCCATTGTGCAGCCCCTCCCCCCCCACGGTGGCAATTGTGAACAGTCAGATATCTCCTCGATTGCTGCCTCCATTCACAGCCGAGACACCTGGGCTCAGCCCTCCCTGAGGTCCCCTCACTGGGGGGTGTGGCAGAGCTGGACTGAGTTTGGGGACACCCCAGCCCAGGCACCATCCCCCAGGCTTCCCTGCAAACGCAGGGTGACCAGAGCAAGCCCAGGGAGGAGCCCGGGCTCTTCACACGCAGGCCCAGAGCAGGTGCAGCGGGGAGGTGCAGGTGCAGGGCAGCTGTGGGCATCATTCATTCAGGGGGACCTGCTGCTGGCTGTGGCATTCATTCCACGCGGGTAATGTCGGCTGAGCCCCTGGGCCACCACAGCCCACCCACCCCCAGACCCTACCTTCCACCCCCACCGGCATTTCCAGGCTAAACATGCAAATCCTCAGGGGGTCCTGTCTGTGTTAAAGACGCAGCCATCCCCCTGCTGCTTCCCTGTCCCTGTGCTGCCTGCAGAAAAGTCTCGCCCGATCAGAGCGCTGACCAGTGCTCCACGAGCCTGTGTCACCTCCGGCCTGCCCCGAAGGCCCTGCCTAACCCAGAAGCCCCCTCACTGTACGTCCACCGCTACGTGCATCATCTCGCTAACCTTCCCGTCCACCCCCTTTACGGGCCAGGAAATTGAGGCTCTGAGGAGCCACGTCCCAGGCTGCCTTGTGCAGGAGCAGAGCTGTCCTGCCCGGCCTCCCCGTAAAGGCCTCCCTGACCTCATGGCCTCAGAAACCCAGCTCTGGCCTTCCCTCACTGCTGATCTTTTCATTTCCAAAGGCGGGCACCGCCCACGGGCCGGCCCTGGCACCTTCCTGGGTACCTAGGACCCTCCTGGCTGGTGACAGAGGATTTCCCGGGCTCTGCGCTGCTCTGACCTCTCCTTGAAAGTCACCAGAGCAACCGTCAGCGCCCATGGGTCAGCCTCACGCCGAACAACCACGGGGCTCTGGGTTCTAATCCCCGCTGTCACGATTCCCCTTTCCTGTGAGGACCCCGGTCTGTCCAACTGAGTCCCTTTCAGTGACACTCAGCTGCTTCTTGGGAAGCGGTCAAGCACATAGGGCCTCTCTGCCCAGAGCGTCCTCTGACCTCGTTCTGGGGCCCTAACATGGCCACAAAGCAGGCACAGGTGTGCAAATGGGTCCTGTCACAGAACCTGGTGGGGTGTCCCCGTTCCACAGCCGGGCGGGGGGCAGGCAGGAGACACGCTCAGACCAAGAAAACCAGAAAGTGCATCTCAGATGACAGACCGAAGCCAAGTCAAAATCAAATAAACCAAACAACCAGCAGAGGAGGCGGACTGCTCACCACTGCCTTCCGACGACCCCACACCACGGAGAGATTCTTTCCCGGCTCCCCAGCGCCCACCACCCCCAGACGGATGCTGTCTGCAGAGCAGGGAGAAGGCAGATACATCCACACAGGTGCCCAAGCCTTTCTGCCAAGTCCCAGCTGGCCCTTTAGACACAGCCGTCCGAATGGATCACGGAGGAACCGGAAAGGGTGTCGTGGGAGAGGCGGTCACGTCGCACGCGGTGGCCGGGAGCCCGGCTGTGCCGACCGACCGGGCAGCCGTCCCGGTGTCCTCTTACCTTTCTCTTGTTCGTGGGGCAAATGTAGAAGTTGTCGATGACCGTGGTGACACCGGGCTGCAGGGTGAGCTTGGTGTAGGACGTCCCGAAGTCCGAGGACCTGGGGGGACAGGACGACAGACAGGTGTCAGCGAGGTGTCCCTCCAGCTGCAGGTTTATCCAGCCCGCGTGGGCGCAGCGCCCCAAGACAACCTCGCCCCCGGAGCAGGATGCCGCAGGTGACAAGGGAGGAGACTGGGCTCCCGCAGGGTCGCCGAGCACGCGCTCAGGTCTGGGAGCTGGGCGGGGAGTCGGTGAATGCCAGCCAGACTCCCCACGGGTCGCCTCCTCCTTGGACTTCCACAGTGATCTGCCCCGACCCTAAGTCTATCTTGGCCCGCTTGCTACACACATGTCTCCACGTTCCTCACCGTGTGCTGAGGCCTCACAGGAGCCCGTCTGCTCCTCCGTTTCCCTCTCTGCACCCCGGGCTCCTCCGGGGAGCCACCCCCTCCCCCCACCCCCACCCCCACTGACCACACAGCCCGGAGACTGTGGGTGACAGCAGGCGGTGCCCAGGCTCCGGGAGCTGCTGGAAACCAGGCCCCAGGCCAAGCCCTGCATCGGCCGGCGAGCACCAGCACCACCACTGGCTCCACGCGGGGGACCAGCTGAACCGCGGGCCGGCCCCTCCTCGCCTGTGTGCCCACTGTCCTGTCTGTGGAGTGACAGGTGCAGGGGGGAATGTGGCTCCCCACCGCGGCGAGACGGGGAGAGGTCACCGGGCAATTTCACATCTGTTGCTTGGAAGCAACTGACGCATCAGGACGTGGAATCGATTCCATGTCGAAGCTTAAAATCTCCGTGACCCTGAAACCCCATTAAAACGTGCTGCGGGTGGGGGCGCCTAGGGGGCTCAGTCGGTTGAGCGTCCGACTTCGGCTCAGGTCATGATCTCATGGTTTGTGAGTTCAGGCCCCGTGTAGGGCTCTGTGCTGACAGCTCGGAGCCTGGAGCCTGCTTCCGATTGTGTCTCCCTCTCTCTCTGCCCGTCCCCTGCCTGCTGTCTCTCAGAAATAAATAAATGTTAAAACAAAACAAAACAAAAAAACGTGCTGTGATTGTGAAGAAGGCCCGGCTGTGAGCTGGAGGCTCACAGGCCTCAGGGTCACAAGGTCCTTCCCAGACCAGGGCAGAGAGCAATCTCTGCCTCCTGACTCCCAGGGGAGGCTGGTGGGGGCCAGTCCCCTCCGTGGGGCAGCCAGGAGGGGATCGGCTGAGCCCCTCCCTCCCTGCCCTTGGCCTCCCCGGGGAGGCCCTGCTGGAGGGGTGATTAGAGATGCACTTACTCTCAAAAAATCAGAGAATTGGTTTGCTTTGGGAAGCAGGGAGCCAGGGCCCCAGTAGCAGAGGACTGACCCAGAGACCCAGGAAATGCCAGTCTCCACAGAAACCAAACGCCGTGTTTCCAAGCTGGATTCATGGAAACCTCTGAGCCTCATGACCCCTCTGCTCTCCTCCCAGCAAGCTGGGTCTAAGACCTGCCCATTGGCTCTGCCTCCCAGAAACCTTGCCATCCATCCACCCCTTCCCTCCATCCCCGACACACACCTGCCTCCGCCCAGCTGCCTCCCCAGGATCCAGACTCCTCCCCGTCCCCACCCAGGTCACAGGAGCCTGCTGACCCCTGCTCGCCCCAGGGCACCTGCTGGTGTGGGCTGCGCGGGGAGCGGGTCTAGTGAGGCAAGGGGAGGGGGTGCTAAACAGGAAACATAGCAGCAGCCCGTGTGATCCGGGCGGGAATGGGGGGTCAGTGGGACTGCGGTCTCAGAGGGGCAGGGAAGGCCCCTCGGACACGGTGATTTGGGGCAGAGGCAGGCAGGAAGGAAGACAGTGCTTTGCGCCTGGCTGGGGGAAAGCCATTTGTAGCCGGCTAAGTAATGTCCCCCCAAAATTCACGTCCACCCAGAATCTGTGAATGCGGCCTGATTTGCAAACAAGGCCTTTGCAGATGTAATTATGTTGAGGTCAAACTGGAGGAGGGAGGGTCCAGATCCAAGGATTGGTGTCATAAGAAGAGGGGAATTTGGACACACGGACACACAGACACACAGACACACAGCCGAGGCCAGCAGGAGACAGCCTGAGCAGCGTCTGGCCCACATCAGACCCCACCTCTCCTACTGTGCATGGGGCCTGTCTCTTGCCAGGCCCCCACGTATGCAGGGGGAGAGAAGGGAATTCATTGCCGTGGATAAGTCTGGGAAATAGAAAATGACTTGTCTCAGAGCCCAGCTGGTCAGTCGGGGCAGGCCAGAAACTGGGACCTCTGCAACTATAAACCTAATGCGGCCTCCTCCTGAAGTCGGTGCAGATCACACGGTCAGTGAGGACAGCGGTCACCAGGATCATCCAAGAATCCGCACCCCCAGGCATACAGCTAGTGTTCAATAAATGCTTACTGGATTCCTGTGGAGGCGCTCTGGTGTCAGAGCTGGAGGCTGTGTGACCTCTGGTGAGCAGGTTGCCCTCTCTGGGCAGCAAGGGTTTCCCAGGGAAACGTGGGGATTAGATGTGATCACGTCCCAGCACGGGCACCGGCCCTCGTGGCTCCACCCCCACGGGCCCTTTTCTCAGCTGCCCCCACGACCCCTGAACCCCTCCGTGCCAGGCCCTCCCCCAGGGTGACCTTCCTCCGCACTCTGCACCCCCACCCCCTCCAAGTCCTCCTCAGGCGCATCTGGGAACGCGGAGCCTGATTATTCCAATCTGCATTTATTCAAATTAAAAATAAAAACCCAGGCTCTGAAACCGGGCAAACAGAACAGGGCAGGCAAGCAGGCGCGGTTGGAAAGTCGCTCTTTGCAAATCGGCTGCTTAATTGCTGAGTGTTTGTACATATTCACTTTTTAAAAAATAATTTAATTGAGCCATTTTCATACTCTATAATTATTTCATTGGCAGGGACGTATGTTCGGCTCCCACCCCTCCCCGTGGTGCAGATGAGCCCCTGTCTCCCACCCATCTCCCCCCGGAAGGCCACGGCAGGTGCGAAAGGTGGGGCCCGCCTTCGTGGCGGGGGCCCCTGCAGGGGCACGGCCTTGGGTGAGGCCTGGTCTCCGTGAGAGGCGGTTTCTTTATCTTTGAGTGACCGATGCGGGTCTGTAACGGGCTGATGACACAGTGGCAGAGACACCTGCGTGAGACTAGAGAGGTGAGGAAAGCGAGCTGGAGGCAGGCTCAGGGTCATGGCCGTGGGGTCCCTGCGGACCTCCCCCTGGTGGAGGGTGCACTTGTGTGTGGACCCAGCTGTGTTCTCTAATGAGCACGATGCTGTGCGTACGTGCTGACGGCTAATTTGCGCAGGCACACCCCAATGCCCGCCAGTCACTGTCGTGAGAGCGCAGACATCCTCTCCTGCCTCCACATTCCCATCAAGCAGGACGCACTGCTAATGTGTGGTTCAGCGTTCAAGGGCTCCCGGGAGCGTCTCCCTTGTAACGAAGAAAGAGGGTCCGGGAGCCAGGCCTTGATCTCCCCGGAAACGCTGGCTGTGCAGGAGGGCAGGGCCACTGCTGGTCGCTGGGTTAAGTTGCTCTGATGTAAAAACTTGCTTCACGTGGATCCCAGCAGCGGATGCTCTGCCCGGTCGGCCGCTCCGGGGTTCCCTGTATGCCGGCTCCCCACCCCCCCAACACGGGCCTATGTCTCCATCGCCACCTCTCCTCTTTTCTTTGACCTCGCTAGACCCACCCTGGGCTGAGAGGTTGCTGGAGCTGCACAGGTGCTGGGGACTGGCTCTCGTTCTGCACCGGTCAGGTGGCAGGGCATCCCGAGAAGACCCCTGTCGCCGGTCCAGACGGTCAGAATTACCACCTGCACTTTATACCTGGGGAAACTGAGGCCCAGCTAGGAAAGGGACGTGTCCAGAGTCTTACAGGGGTGCAGAGGCGTCCTTCACGGGCTCTCCCACCAAACGCTAGGGGTACAATCTCGCAGCTGAAGCGGTTCTGAGCTTTGGTCGGATTGCGGCCATGCACGGCGTCTGTGACTGGGTGATGGGAAGGAACAGACTCTGAGCCAGCTTCACCCAGGGGCCGGTCTGGTTCTCGGCACTGACAGGTCACGGGACCCCTGGCGGGCTTTGATTTGCTGCCGGGTCTCATACACGGACACAGGATCAGCGGAAGAGAATTATGGCAATAAGGGGGGCACTTCCAGGGCTGGTCAAGTCATCCAGAAAAATCCAGGATGTGGCTCGAGATTCTGCATGTGAATTGGGGAGTCGGGGCCCTGCTAGGGGGGTGAGCTGAGGAAGAAAACAGCCCTGGCCCCAGGGGGAGCACAGCATGGTAGGGTGGGGAGCACCCTTGTTCGCCATGGCCGCTGGCGGGATCTGAAGAGCAGGGCCCCTCTGACGGAAGGGCCTGGGGGAGGGGGCGTCCAGTGAAACCACACGCTCAACGCACACTGGATGCCAGGTTCTGGGCGGACACACGGACTCAACTGACACAGGAAGACCATTCGAACGGGAGCATGCCTTCCCATTTTACAGACGGGGAAACCGAGGCTCAGAGAGTATGAAAGGATCGCTTAGCACTTAACCACACAGTAACTACAGGAAACCCAGGCTGTCCGCTGAGTGATGTCCCTGGAGGTGTTCACAGGGCACGGCACCCACTCCACGCGGCTGGACCTTCTGACTCCATTTCTCTTGCAGAGCCTGGCGGCCAACGCTCTCCAACGTGCGGGCAGTTGAACACAGACCGCAGCCCGTCCCACCCAGGAAGCTGCACCTCTGTTGCCCGCGGGTTTTCGCAGCAGCATTAACTCGAGCCCGCTGTGCATCAGCCCGGGCCGTATTCCCAGCCGGCCAAGAGGGAGGCGGGCAGGAGGGGGCTTGAGATTCTCCGCGTCTGAACTCACAGCGAGCAGGGTCCCATGGCCGCACAGGGCCAGAGCCCGCCTCTCCGAGCCTGTCCTCCAAGCCTGTCCCCCAACCAGCGTGTCCACTCGTGGTTCCCAGCCGCCTGCCGCGGCACTGGGGATGCCGTGTGCCCACAGGCGGCAGATCTTTCCGGAATGAAGCTGGGCCGGGCAAGGCCCGCTCCCAGACGCTGC